CTCCTCCTCCTCCTGCTCCTCCTGCTCCTCCTCCTCCTCCTCCTCGGACGAAGAGCTGACCGTGGAGGATGATGGAGCTCCTCTTCCACCGCCTGAGGAGCTGGGCCAGGGCAACCCCTTCCTGCTGTTCGTGTGCCTGGCCATGCTGCTGGAGCAGCGCGAGGCCGTGATGGCGCGGGCCGGCGACTACAACGAGGTGGCCATGCACTTCGACCGCCTGGTGCGGCGCCACCAGCTGGGCCGCGTGCTGCGCCGCGCCAAGGGGCTCTTCGCCAGGTACCTGGAGGGGTGGGGTGGGGCAGTGCCAGGGGGACCCCAAAATGGAGCCTCATTGGGATAGGGGACCCCAAAATGGATCCTCATCGGGGTAGGGGGGACCCTAAAATGGATCCTCGTTGGGATAGGGGACCCCAAAATGGATCCTCATCGGGGTAGGGGGGACCCTAAAATGGATCCTCGTCGGGGTAAGGGACACCGAAATGGGGTAGGGGACCCCAAAATGGGGTAGGGGACCCCAAAATGGACCCTCATCGGGGTAGGGGACACGGGGAAAGGGTGGTGGGGGCTCCTTGGGGACACCATGGTCAATGGAGGGTTCTGGAGACTCCATAAAACATCTCCAGGAGGACCTGGGGTCACCATTGGGGTCTCTTGGCAATGTGGGAACCTTGTGGGACAATGTGGAGACCCCATAAAACATCTCCAAGGACCCCAAAAGCATCATGGGGAACCTTTGGGAACTTCAGGAACCTTGTAGGACCATGTGGAGACCCCATAAAACATCTCCAAGGACCCCAAAAGCATCATGGGGAACCTTTATGCACTGTGGGAACCTTATAGGATGATGTGGTGGCCCCATAAAACATCTCCAGGAGGACCTGGGGTCACCTTGGAGATCCCAAAGTCACTGTGGGGGTTTGTAGGATACTGGAGACCCCATGAAACATCTCCGAGGACCCCAAAGCCATCATGGGGATCCTTTGGGCACTGTGGGAACCTTGTAGGACAATGTGGAGACCCCATAAAACATCTCCAAGAGGACCTGGCGTCGCGTTCAAGACCCCCAAAGTCACTGTGGGGGTTTGTAGGGTACTGGAGACCCCATAAAACATCTCCAAGTGGTCATGGGGTCACCATTGGGGTGTCTGGGCACTTTGGGAACTTTGTAGGACAGTGTGGAGACCCCATAAAACATCTCCAAGAGGTCATGGGGTCACCACTGGGATCTCTTGGCAATGTAGGAACCTTGTGGGACAATGCAGGGACACCATAAAACATCTCCAGGAGGACCTGAGGTCACCATTGGCATCTCCTGGCACTTTGGGAACTTTGTAGGACAATGTGGAGACCCCGTAAAACATCTCCAAGGACCCTAAAGCCATCATGGGGATCCTTTGGGCACACTGAGAACCTTGTAGGACAATGTGGGGACACCATAAAAGGTCCCTTTGATGTCACCATGGGGGCTCCAAGGCCACCCCCTGCCCCACACCCCAAGGGGCTCTTTGCCAGGTACCTGGAGGGGTGGGGTGGGGCCATGCCAGGGGGACCCCAAAATGGATCCTCATCGGGGTAAGGGGGACCCTAAAATGGGGTAGGGGACCCCAAAATGGGGTAGGGGACCCCAAAATGGACCCTCGTCGGGGTAAGGGGGACCCTAAAATGGGGTAGGGGACCCCAAAATGGACCCTCATTGGGGTAGGGGACCCCCTGCCCCACTCCCCAAGGGGCTCTTTGCCAGGTACCTGGAGGGGTGGGGTGGGACAGTGCCAGGGGGACCCCAAAATGGACCCTCGTTGGGGTAAGGGACACTGAAATGGGGTAGGGGACCCCAAAATGGACCCTTATTGGGGTAAGGGGACACCGAAATGGACCCTCGTCGGGGTAGGGGGACCCTAAAATGGGGTAGGGGGACACTGAAATGGACCCTCAGTGGGATAGGGGACCCCTGTCCCACTCCCCAAGGGGCTCTTTGCCAGGTACCTGGAGGGGTGGGGTGGGGCCGTGCCGGGGGGACCCCAAAATGGATCCTCGTCGGGATAGGGGACCCCAAAATGGGGTAGGGGACCCCAAAATGGACCCTCATTGGGGTAAGGGACACGGGGAAAGGGTGGTGGGGGCTCCTTGGGGACACCATGGTCAATGGAGGGTTCTGGAGACCCCATAAAACATCTCCAAGAACCCCAAAAGCATCATGGGGATCCTTTGGGCACTTCAGGAACCTTGTAGGACAATGGGGTGACCCCATAAAACATCTCCAAGAGGACCTGGGGTCACTGTTGGGATCTCCTGGCACTTCAGGAACCTTGTAGGACAATGCAGGGACACCATAAAACATCTCCAGGAGGACCTGGGGTCACCTTGGAGATCCCAAAGTCACTGTGGGGGTTTGTAGGATACTGGAGACCCCATAAAACATCTCCAGGGACCCCAAAAGCATCATGGGGAACTTCTTGGGCACTTCAGGAGCCTTGTAGGATGATGTGGGGACACCATAAAACATCTCCAGGAGGACCTGGGGTCACTGTTGGGATCTCCTGGCACTTCAGGAACCTTGTAGGACAATGTGGAGACCCCATAAAACATCTCCAAGGACCCCAAAGCCATCATGGGGAACCTCTGGTCACCATGGGAACCTTGTAGGACCACACGGGGACAGTTTATGGTGTCACTTTGGGGTCACTTTGGGGACCCTTTGGGGACACCACAGACCCCCCCCCCCATGTGGACAGGTGGGTCCTTTTGGGGACCCCAAAGCCACCCTGATGACCCCAAAGGGACCCCAAAGCCACCCTGAGGTCCCCAAGGCCACTCTGAGGTCCCCAAAGGGACTCTGGGGTCCCCAAGGCCACCAAACGGACCCCTCCCAGTATAAACCAGTACAGCCCAGTGCCGCCCCGCTGGCTTCTGCACCACCATGGGACATCCCAGTATAAACCAGTATGAACCAGTACAAACCAGTTTGAATCAGTACGAACCAGTACGAACCAATACGAACCAGTACAAACCAGTACGAACCAGTTTGAACCAGTACGAACCAGTACGAACCAATACGAACCAGTACAAACCAGTACGAACTAGTTTGAACCAGTACAAACCAGTACAAACCAGTACAAACCACCGCAACATCCTGGCTGGGAGCTCCTGGATCTGCATTGCCTTGGGTCGGACCAGTACGGACCAGTACGGACCAGTATGGACCAGTACGGACCAGTATGGACCAGTATGGACCAGTGCCTTGCCATGGCCTTTGGCCGTCCCAGCACAGACCAGTACGGACCAGTATGGACCAGTACAGACCAGTCCGGCAGCCAAACTGGGAGCTCTTCACTGGCATGGCCTTGCGTCGTCCCAGTACAAACCAGTACAAACTGGTAAAAACCAGTCTGGACCAGTACAAACCGGTACAAACCAGTCTGGACCAGTACAAACCAGTACAGACCAGTCCAGGATCTCCTCACCCGCGTGGCCTTGTGTCCTCCCAGTACAAACCAGTACGGACCAGTATGGACCAGTACAGACCAGTACGGACCGGCAGGGTGCTCCCAGTGCTGTATCGATGACCGTCGGCCTTCTCCCAGTACGGACCAGTACAAACCAGTACAAACCAGTACAAACCAGTACAAACCAGTCCCGCCCTGGGTGCCTTTCTCCCCTCCCCCCCCTTTATTTATTGCCCCTCCCCCCACACCCCGGGGGGTCCCTGAGGTGCCGAAATCGCCAATAAATCGATGCCTGATACTGGTGTGGGCTCCCAGTTTGGACTGGGAGGGACTGGGAGGGACTGGGAGGGGGCTGGGGGCTCCCAGTTTGGACTGGGAGGGGGCTGGGGGCTCCCAGTTTGGACTGGGAGGGGGCTGGGGGCTCCCAGTTTGGACTGGGAGGGACTGGGAGGGGGTTGGAGATTCCCAGTTTGGACTGGGAGGGGATTTACCATTCCCAGTATGAACTGGGGAGCTCCCAGTACGAACTGGGAGGGCGTGGGCAGGGGCGGGGCCGGGACTGGGATTTTCCCAGTGTTCCCAGTTTGACTCCCATCTTCGGCTGAGGCTGCTCCCAGTTCCCCCAGTTCCCCTTCCCAGTCCCTCCCAGTCCCTCCCCAGTGTTCCCAGTATCCCAAATTTCAGCAGAGGCCTCTCCCAGTACCCCCAGTTCCTCTCCCAGTCCATCCCAGTCCATCCCAGTATCCCAAATTTCAGCCTTGATTTTCCAGAGGCCTCTCCCAGTCATTCCCAATTCTCCCAGTTCCCTTCTCCAGTCACTCCCAGTTCTTCCAGTCTTTGTCCCAATCCCTCCCAGTCCCTCCCAGTTCTCCCAGTGTTCCCAGTATCCCAAATTTCAGCAGAGAGGCCTCTCCCAGTCCATCCCACTCCATCCCAGTTCCCCCAGTTCCCCTTCCCAGTCCATCCCAGTCCATCCCAGTATCTCAAATTTCAGCCCTGATTTTCCAGAGGCCTCTCCCAGTAATTCCCAGTGTTCCCAGTTCTTCCAGTCTTCGTCCCAATCCCTCCCAGTTGCTCCCCAGTACCCCCAGTTCCCCTTCCCAGTCCCCCCAATCCCCTCCCAGTTCCTCCCAGTTCCCCTCTCCCATTCCCTCCCCCAACTTCCCAGTCCCCCCCAGTCCATTCCAGTCCCTCCCAGTTCTCCCAGTGCTCCCAGTATCCCAAATTTCAGCAGAGAGGCCTCTCCCAGTCCATCCCAGTCCATCCCAGTTCCCCCAGTTCCCCTTCCCAGTTCCATCCCAGTCCATCCCAAATTTCAGCCCTGATTTTCCAGAGGCCTCTCCCAGTCATTCCCAGTGCTCCCAGTTCCCCTTCCCAGTCCTCCCAATCCCCCTCCAGTCCCTCCCAGTGCTCCCAGTATCCCAAATTTCAGCAGAGGCCTCTCCCAGTACCCCCAGTTCCTCTCCCAGTCACTCCCAGTACCCCCAATTCCCATCCCAGTTCCTCCCAGTCCCTCCCAATATCCCAAATTTCAGCAGAGAGGCCTCTCCCAGTCCCCCCAATCCCCTCCCAGTTCCTCCCAGTTCTCCCAGTGCTCCCAGTTCCCCTTCCCAGTCCCCCCAATCCCCTTCCAGTCCCCCCAGTTCCTCTCCCAGTCACTCCCAGTTCCCTCCCAGTTCCATCCCAGTCCATCCCAGTATCTCAAATTTCAGCCCTGATTTTCCAGAGGCCTCTCCCAGTCATTCCCAGTGCTCCCAGTTCCCCTTCCCAGTCCCCCCAATCCCCCTCCAGTCCCTCCCAGT